AAGTGGGGGGCAGGGGGCTGGCGGCGGCTGCTCACCTTGCTGCGCTCCCCAGTGCGGCAGGAGCTGTCGGAGACCCAACGGAAACAGATGCGGATGCAGAGCGGGATGCACAAATACTATGAGGAGTTGCAGGACATCACAGGTAAAGCCACCGTCTCTGTCTTGACGCCCTCTCATCGTTGTGGGCCAGGAGAGAAACCCCCCTTGGTTTTAAGCCCAGAAAGACCACAGCGGTCTCAGGGATGGAAAATTTGGGTGATTTATGGCCATTTTGAGACGTCATCCTGCTGGTGGTAGAGAAAACCTGATTTTCGCCTGGGTTTTGGGGGGGTTTCTCATCTTCCCAGCGCTGATCTGCAGATCCATCCTGGACAACAAGAAGTGCTCAGCCGGTTGGAAGATCTTCGAGAAGAGCTGCTACTCCTTCTCGACGGAGATGATGAGCTGGGCGGACGCGAAGGAGAGCTGTGCCGACCAAGGCGCTCACCTGGTCATCGTCAACTCGGAGCTGGAGCAGGTCAGGCGGACGCTCGCGAGGGAAAAATAACCAGTTTCTCATCTAACAGCGCCCCAAAATACCCATTTTCTCGGAGAATCCCCACTCTGGCAAACACAGCAACTCCAAAACCTCTTTTTTCGGGCTCAGATTAGCCAAGACTGGCTGTGGAGCTCTGAGTTATTTAGCAACGGAGAGAAGTGACGATGGCCAAGCCGCGTTCAGTCAACTATGACTTCCCGTTTTTAGGAAAAAGTGCTAAAAATGGAGCAAAAAAGGTCAACATCTCCTTTCCGGAGTGCCGTGTGCGCGTTTTGCTTTAATACCCCCAAATCGTTCACTCTTTACGAAAAAACGCTGCTGAGGTATCACGGTGATGACCTCATCTTCTTCGCCAAACACCTCGAGATGCTCCCTCATCCCCAGATTCTTGCTTTTGGGGCTGTTTTAACCAATTCTGCTTTTCTAGGAGTTTCTGAAGGACAACATTAACAGCAGCAGAACGTACTGGCTGGGAGTGACGGATCAGCTGGAAGAAGGCATCTGGGTCTGGACTAATGGCGAACGTACAAGCATCAGGTAAAAATTCCCCCGAGGGATTTCCTGAAACCAGAAAATAATCAGAAAATAATTGGAAAAAGGCGGAGCTGACCCACCGAAACTTCATTTTCTGGTCGTTTTCGAGAAGTCAAAGGGTTTGCAGTGGAAAAATGGTGTTATCAGAGCGTTTTCTTGCCGGTGGTAAAAAAAAAAAAGGAGATTTTAGCGGTCTCCTTGCCTCAAAAATACAAATTTTAGTTCTTCTGCTCCGCTGCCGTGGCGCTCGTTTTCAATACTTTATTATTTTCCCTTTTCTGCTGCTTTTCCTCCTTCTTTCTCCAGCTACTTCAACACGTGGAAGGAGAACAAAGACAAGGACCAGAAAGACTGCGGCAGCATCGGGCCTGGCGGCATCTGGCATGATGACCGATGCTCCCGCTCCAACCACTGGATTTGCGAAAAGTCCTGGAACTGCTGACTTCGACGTGATTTTTTTCTTTTCCTGTTTCCGCATAATTTTCAACATGTTTCCACCCCCCCCCTCAAAAAAAAAAAAGGTGTATTTTAAAATTCCCATCTTGGGAGCTGGACGAACTCTGGGGGGCACCAGGACACCTTGATGGCTCCACACTCCCATTTTTTTACCTATTAATGACGTGAAAATCCCTAAAAAAATTCCTTAAAATCCCTGTGACCCCCAACCTTGCAAGCCTGACCCCCAAACCGTGAAAAAAAGGGATTTGCACTTAAAATAAACCCTGCCAAAAGGATAAAACTCCGCTCACCAGCGCAAAAATGGTCCCGTTCCTCAGCGCCGCTGAATTTCTCCTTTCCCCCCGCAACGCCGCCGCCGTTTCTGCCGAACTCTCAGAAAAGACAATTTCGGTAAAATCCAGGGTTTTTTTTCCCTATTTTCAGACTTTTTTCCGCATTTTCAGACTCTTTTCCATATTTATCCTGCCCTCCCCCAGGCGCCAGCCCCTGTCTCTGTCCGGCTGTGGCCCCACAGCCAAAAAAAAACCCCCAAACCCCAATTCTGCTAATTTATACATCTCTTAATTCAGCACGTTATCACCCAATAAAACTTCATATTTTTCTCCTGAGAAAAGCAGTGTGCACTGTTCGGTCTTTTTTCACCCCGAATAAATAAAAACACCCTGCGATATCCACCCCGGCAGCTGGAAATTCCAGGAATTGAAGGAATCCTCTTAAAACCAGGGCATGATCGTAACGCTCATTTTTTTAAAGGATTATAAGCTAAAAAATGTTTGTATTTTGGGGGAATTTATACCATATCGATCAGTGGAAACGCAATGATTTGTTACGAGTTAACGAAATTCCCTTTCTGGGTTGAAAATTAACTGTGAGAGCTCTGTTCCACCCCCCCCAAAAAAAAATCAGGACATTTGAGCTGGGCTTGAGAAATTCACTGTAAAAAAAAAAAAAAAAATCGATAAAAAAAGGCCCCGTGGCAGAAAGCGAAACTGGTTTTAGGTTGGTTTTGGACATTTTTCGATAACCACAAAAAATATCGACCAGTGGCAGAGCTGACGGGTCTGCCCTCGATAAAAAATTGTTAATTTAGCCAAAATGCCCATTTCTAGCAGGGAAAGGGGCTGGGAGGGGGGCAGTGCCTGTCTGTGTGGGGTTCAGCGGAGCAGTTGGCTCTGGTGGCAGAGACTGGGGGTCACTGGGAGGGCTCTGGGAACACTGGGGAAGTAGGCTGGGGGCTGCTGGAAGGGTGCTGGGAGTGTGGGCTGTGGGTTACTGGCAGCTCTAGGGCTGAGGAGGGTATGGGGGACACTGGAAGCACTGGGCTAGGAGGCACTTGGGAGGGCACCGGGAGGCTAATGGGAGCACTGGGGGTACTGGGCAAACAGTAGGAGCAGTGGAGCATGGAGACAGCCCAGTCCCAGTATTGGGGGGTACTGGGAGGGCACTGAGGCAGGGAGACAGCCCAGTCCCAGCACTGGGAGGCTAACTGGGAGCACTAGGACAGGGAGATGGCCCAGTCCCAGCAGTGTGGGGGTACTGGGAGGGCACTGGGGCACAGACCCAGCCCAGTTCCAGCACTGGGGGGTACTGAGAGGGCACTGGGGCACAGATACAGCCCAGTTCCAGCACTGGGGGGGATACTGGGAGGGCACTGGGGCACAGACACAGCCCAGTTCCAGCACGGGGGGGATACTGGGAGGGCACTGGGGCACAGACACAGCCCAGTTCCAGCACCAGATGGCTACTGGGAGGGCACTGGGGCACAGAC